TTTTGGCAGGAATTTCCACATGCCTTAACTCCTGACGTCTCAAAGAGCAGAATAAAGTTTAATTGCTATTTTATTTTACACCCTGAAAAGATTTGAAACCTAATTCCACATTTTGTGGAACAGCTTTGAATAATTATGGTCATTACGAAGGTATTTTAAAAAAGAAAAACCCACCCAAAGGGAGTGTGACACTTTTTGTATAAGTAACACAATATTAATAGGCTTCTGGGGGCTTCCAAATTGCAGACTTTTTATAACTGGTCAGAAAAACAGCTCATACATTGGTTAATTTCCCTTGCAGTGTGGCAGCTTTGATAGGCTGTAGTTATGTTCCTGAAACACATACCTTAAGGTTTTTATTTCCAAAATACAGTATATGGATGAATTGCATAATTATTATTTAGAAGAAGTCAAATATTGTTCTTATGCTTCTAAATGGGTAGATGGAAAGAAGGTGCATGTCATGATCTTTATTGCCATGTGACTATTAAGGGCATAGGATAAAGATATGGATACAGATTGGGTAAGTTTGACAAATCTGTGTCAGATGTTGGCATGATGTATTGTTCCATCCAGTTATATTTGACTCCTTCAAGTCACCTGGGGAAAGTCAGAGCTTGGAAACCTTATTAGACTGTCCAGCACATTGATCATTGCCCCTTACATTTTGAACAATCCAATTTCGTTTGCTGGTAGTCTGCCATTTTAAAAATTGTCCACAAGCCTCACTGAACCCCATGCTCCATGCTGCTGCCAAGTATCCTATGGCAGCACTCATAACTAAGCTCCTATTCCTCTCTTTTAACCACCAGCTGCCAAGGGAGACATGCGTATCCTGCTCCTTTTGCTCAGAGTAGGGATTCTAAAAACTAAATGCAAATGCTGTCCAGAAGAGTGATTTTAGAGCCATTCTGGCTCCCAAGTCTTTTTTTAAGAGTACAAAATAAGACAATAGTTTTCCTGCTGTTTAGAGCAAGCAAGATGTCTAACCACAGGCTGCAGTTCATTTGAGGGACTGCTCTGTGACAATGAGGCTGAATTTCCACACAGGTTGGATCCATCTAGTATTTAGCGTTGCCATTTTGTGTAGTGATTTCATTACATGCAGAGATCTGAGGAGCCCTCAGTGACTTGCTGTGACTAGTAGTCAAAGTAGTTTGTACATAAAATCAATTATGTACAATATGTCACTGGATCTTCCTGCCATTTCTCCATATTAAGTTCATATAGATACTTTTCTGATTGTTCATATTGAGGACACAAACAGCATCCTTGAAGGTCTACCATATGCTTGTTCAATACATGTTCATCTTGACACATTAAGTCAGTCAGAGGTGGATTGGCCCAGTGGAGTGACTGGGACACTCAGACTGAAATCCTGTTTGTACTGCTATGCCACATAAAACTGAGGCATCTTTAGCTGCAGAGATTTTTCACAAATAAAAATATTTCCGATTTCCCCATCTGATTCCCCATCTGAAGATTCTAAAGCTCCCATGGAATGCCTTCCATTATGGGGAAGTTGTTGGGGGCTGCAGGATGGGTGTTAATTTCCAACATCATTCTGGAGGTGGTGATATTTAGAACAGTGGTTCTTAACCTTGGGTAACCCAGGCGTTCTTGGACTGCAAATCCCAGAAGCCCTCAACCAGCATAGCTGGTGGGGAAGGCATCTGGGAATAGCAGTCCAAGAAAACCTGGGTTACCCAAGGTTAAGAACCACTGATTTAGAAGTTAAGGACTCTCCTCTGTCTTGCAGCTCCCAAAGGCTTTCCCACAATGAAAAGGATTCCTTGGGAACTTGGGACTTCCATGAGAGAATTGGGATTTTTATATTTCTAAAAACCCAGTGTGGTTGATGATGTCATCAGACTTTTGTGACATGAAGAATGGTCATTAATATCTTATTTTTTCATTGAGACAGGTTGTTTAGATATGATAAAATGTCTTGGCAAACCATATCAACACACACACACCCAAGTTCTTGTGTCCCATGTAAGCCTGGAAGAACAAAACTTTTTTCTCATTGTTGTGTAGAATAGCACAAAACGTGTGTAGCTTCTTGAACTTGAACACATACGCAAAAAAAACCCCACAAAATAATAGGCAAATTATTCATAAAGGATCAAACAATTCATCCAGTGCTTCCATTTGTAATCATCCATGCATGATGCAAAAATTATCATAGGTTTAATTGTTGCACTTTTCTTGAAATGTACAGTTTCTGGGAATGTGCAATTGTACATATTTCCGTAAATGTGCACAAACTGCACAAATTATTTCTAGAAAGTCTTAGAGAAAGCATTAAAAATTGCTTTCTCATTCAGCTCATGGAAATGAATCCGATTGCCAATTACAGTCCTAGTTGTCTCCTAGCTGTTACTGCAGTAGCCACAATGAATCCCCTTTGTCAGATACAAATCTATGTTTCTTGACAATGTTCTTAAACAAATATGGGCATTTTGGCTCTAAGTTTCTCTTGAATAAGACTGTATTTTTAAATCTGATTTTTGGTCTGGTTTTACAGAGGATGCTGCTGCTACCTTCATCAGCAAACTGTACCAGGCAACAGAGAGGGAAAATTGCTTCCTTTGAGTTTTCCAGGTTCTTTTGAGTACTGCTGGGCATGGTTCCTTTCTGGACTACTTGGCCATGATGTGACTGGAGGTAAATCTTGTTTGATTTGATTTTTTGTTGTGGATCTGATACCTGGCATTGCATGGCTCCATCTGGTTTTTAACACTTATTAATGCTTTTAAGAAGCTCTTGGAGGAAGTAATCAAGAGGTCTGGAGTGCAGGGCTATCAGCATGTTGAACATACACAGCTGTACTTCTCCTTTCTTTCAGATACTAGGGAAGTGGAAGAAGACATCAACCTAGGAAGTTAGCTTATACTAGGTTGACTATTCACTCCTGTAAATATGTTCCTAATACTGTAGTTAATGCCTACGTTTAACAGGGGGACAGGATGTACACAGATGTTATACAGTAATTACTGCATGTTATTTTTGTGAGTTTTCCCTGGCTTTTGGCATGAGGATTATACTTTGCTTTACTAATAAATGAGCCTGTAATTGGAATTGATTTTTTTTAATAAATAGATATCCATCTCCAGATTGCTTCCAGAAATTCTTTATTTTATAAAAAAGCTCTACCTTATGGGCAAACTTTCAAAGTTCTCCCTTGTGAACAAGCACCAGTGGAAAAGTACAGAAATGTCTAAGGCAAAAAGATCTATTCTCCATTACAACCATTATCTGTCTTAATGTAACAATGTCCAAGCCCAGACAGTTCCTGATCAATGTAGTCTGCGAATATCACAATAGCTATTCAGAAAGTACAGATAACATTACTGACAGTAACCTAACTCAGGGGCAGGTTTAAATGCACATCAAGAAAGCAATGAAACTAAGAAGAGATAAGTGGGAGTTCAGAACTATATCTCTAGAGACACAACCAATATGCTTTATGTAGTCATTTTCAAACAGTTGGCTGAAAAATTTCTCATCAGTAAATACGGTAATAGAAATAAAAAATGTTTCTTTTTGCAGGACAAAAAATATAGGCAGAGTTTAGATTGTTACAAAATTACAGCCAATTTGTAATAGATAACTGAACTGAGGTTCAAACTCTCCAATGCATTTCTAGTTGTGTTTTTTTTTGTAAAAGGCTAGTTTTGCGTTCTTAAAAACAATAAAAGAACAAAAGAAAAACAGAAAAACAATGAACGTCAGTTATTTTTCAGAGAGACAAGGAACAGAGATTTGTTAAAACTGCGCTAATGTATATTTTCATTTAATTTGTGATACCTAGGCTACAGTCATAAATAAAACATACCCTCAAAAGCTCTTGCTCATTATTAGCTACTGAACTGTGGTGTAAAATGGTTTGTGTTATGAAAGCACACAGCTGTGAACTCTTGTTTGCAATTCTGCCAGCGTGTAAGAGAGATTGGGCTGGAAAGAGAGTTCCTCAAAGACAAGAGTGGGCAAATGTGACTCTTAGATCTCACGATTTTCAGCTTCCATAATGCCATGGCTATGTTGACTATGGCTGAGTAGACCACAAACATCTGGAGACTGTGGTTGTTCATCCCTTCCCTGAGAGATTTTGTGGTCCAAGCAGTACATTTTTCATACATCTCTCAGATGAGGCTGTAACTCAGTTGATGAATACATAACTGGCATGCAAAATACCTTAGCCAAATCCCCGACATCTATAACTAAATAGGACTTCAAGTAGTAGTCCTGAGAAAGACTCTTTATGTAAGACCCTGATCAATGGAACATGCTACTTAATGAGACTGATTCATGATCTGAGGCACCAGAAAATATATGATTTCTAGAGATGCCTCTTTTTGGCTTAAAAAAAAATACAGTGGCTGGAATCCTGTTGCTTTAATTTATGCCACAGAACACTGATTATGTTGTCAGCTATGGCAGTTTTTCAGAAATTAAAACAAATAGATTTATCTCCCCAACAGTCCTGAGCCTCCATTGGGATCCCTTTCATGGTGGGGAACCTACTGAGGGACCACAATTGGAGGGAGTTTTTAATTGACAAAAATCACCACCAGTAAGAAGAATTTATCAAAGATGAGAATGTTTGGTAATTAAAGCCTTCTCTCCCCTTTTCCACATTCTCCAGTCGTTTCCCTATGACGAAAGGACTCCCAACCAAGACACAGTACCTTTGGGAAGGAAGAGGATTGAAAATGTTTAATTTCTAAAAAAACGGTCATGGTTTGTTATGTCATCAGCCTTGTGGGGTATAAATTAAAGCAACAGGATTTCCATCACCAAGTTCTTCCCTGGGTGACTGAAATAGCATTAATCTTTCCTTTTGCCCATGGGGCCTTTAGAAAAAAAAAATGCTCCTATGCCCCAGAATAGTACTGGCATCATGACATCTCTCTCTGTCTGTCTTAAACATTATGATGCCTGCTGTTTCACTATAGCAACATGATGTCATCGACCAAAACTTATACCAGAACTTGGTCCAAGGCTTTCACTGTATTAAAGAGACTTGCAAATCACACAGATCAACAGTAAGTAAGAACTATTCATATGACTGACTCCCCTCCCCCAAAGAAGTGCCTATATTTTGGTAGCAGAAGTGCATATACCATGAAAATATATTGAGCAGGGAGATAGCTGTGTCAGTCTGTTGCAGCAAAAACAAGCAGAACTTTGTGGCATCTTAAAGAACGATGCCAAGCTTTGCTTGGTATAAAGGTATATGTATCATAGCCCACAAAGCTTTTGCCAAATAAAAGCAACTAGTCTCTAAGATTTCATGTACTCTGGGTTAAATAATGCATGGTGTTTGCTTCTACAAGCAGAGCAAAGGTATAGGTTAGTGGCAGATGATCGGTAGGGATTTAAATACAGATGTGTCTGGTAAATGGGCCAATGAAAAATAAATACTTTGTCATAGAAAGATGGGGATGGGGTCCGCTTCAGGGCGAAACTATGCAATGTTGAGAGTGCTTTTTGTACGTTTCAGTGTTGCATGATAAAAGTAGTTTGCATTTGTGTGTTTTCTCTCCATCCTCCTGTCTCTCTATGTATGTTTCTTTCCGCACCTTTAGCTTCATAAATTGAAAAATACATCTATGTTTCACATGAGCTATGCACAAAGTATATGTTCCATATACTGCAGAAACATGAGAAGACAACACCTTGATCTTGCACAGGAGATGTTTTTTTTTCTTTCTGTTTCTGAACTTTGGGTACAGGTTCAGTTGTGCAAAGAGAAATGCGCTGGATTGCACTTTAACATGCTGATGTACTGTAGACTCTATTGATTTTAACGGTATTAACTTCCAAGTCAGCATGCTTAGAATTAAACATGTAACAAAGGCTTGCTAATCCTTGGCCAAAAACAAAAGCAAAAACCTCAACTCTTGCAAGTCCTGAAATGCACACAATTCACAAGAACTCTTGGAATATCACTCATTGAAGAGAAAACCTTTGAAGCCTTTCATTCTTAGATGAGAGAACAAAGAATAAAATAGGCAAAGGTCTGCTGTGACACACCATTTCTATATGGGAAGATGGATTCCTAACATTCTGTGACTCAGTAATGGGCTTGCTGGGTCTCAGGGTGGAGGCTCAGATCTCAACTCGCTGCTGGTGTCTAGGGAAAGAGGCAGAGTGATGCTTGGGAAAGGGGAGGCTGGATTGTTGGGCATGAGATGGCTTTAAACTTTGGGTGCCTTTTTATCTGTTCTCAACGGATGCCAAAGATCTCTGGTGCAGTTTGAAGGTGTTTGAAAGTGTATTCTGCTTTCAAGCACTGTTGCCCTCAGAAGTCAGAGGAGGGAATTAGGGATAGATATTGCGGGTGCATGAACTTGAGTTTAAGGGAGGCAATGGAGTGTCAGGGTTGTGATTCATCAGTCTTTGTGTTGCACAAGCCTTGGCAGCTTGATCTGAAAAATAAATTGCAAGTGCTGGTGGTGAGCTTTCCACACTCAGCTGCAGCATATGACCTGGAAAAATCTCCTCACATGTCATTTCATGCCATAGGTAAGATTATACATGAAACAAAACTGAGGGGAAATCATGGCAACCACTACAACTTCTGCATACATTTTGCTGTCTGCACTGGCATCAGTCCCCCCCCCCATCCTTGCTCTGGGTTGGCATATTTTCTTATTAGCTTGATTTTACCCAGATTGTGCGCTCATTTACCCAAATTCCCTATGAGCCCATTGCCACAACCAGCTGACTCACAAACCATCCTGACACAGTTCCTGACATGTTTCAGTCCAACATCTTTGACATCACAAGGCCAGCCTTTGGGACATCACCATGACCCACTGCACCACACCCAGCTTTAGGTGCCAGCCCTGATATCTCAGAAAAGGGTTGTTTTTTTTCATCTTTCTTCATGCCAAAAGCACCACAGTGCAATTAACAGATATGCCAGACAATTTTGTTCCAAAACAGGCAACATGAAGAGCAGCAAACAATTCTTCCATAGTACATGATGAGGAGCACAGAGGACACTGACATAGGTGGGAGGTTGCCTGTTCTTCTCTGGGCTCTGAACTGTGTCAGTGCAAAAACCTCCTTTTCTTCAGTTCACCTTGGTTCTGCCAACTCCAATCTGTAGCCTAAAAAACAACTAAAAACACTGATGTTTCGGCAGGCCTTCCCCTCAGCCAATTCCTGATTTCCCCCCCTCCTTTTCCTAGTGTCTGTCCCATCTTGTCCAAATTTTTCCCCTTATATAAAATTGTTTTTAATTATATTGTTATATTTTCTTGTAAGCCGCCTAGAGTGGTCTTAATTGACTAGATAGGCGGGATATAAAGAAAATAAATAAATAAATAAAAATATTAAGCTACATCCAAGTACTGTAACCCAGTTCTCCATTTGGCAGGGGGTTATATTCCCTGGGGTTCGATCCATATTAAGAGATTTTTTTTTCTTCTCACATTATAGTCCTGCCATTCTACAGGTTTTTTTCCGAGAGTCACAGATGTTCTGAACAAACTTTTCCTTGATTTTAATCTAGGAGGGTGGGATGGCAGCCAAAAAGTGCACGTGCATTCGATGTACATGCTTTCAGTCTTTTACTGTTAGCTGCTACCTTTTTTTCATACATTAGTGAGTGCAAAGCCTGCTCAGCAATTGATTTTATTCATAGAGGTTGGTTTCAGGCATCCAAACAACTCTACAGCTTTTTCTTTTTTCTTTTAATTGTACATAAGAGAGATTCTCAAGTTTATTGACAAAGCCTGCTCAGCAATTGATTTTATTTATAGAGGTTGGGTTCAGGCATCCCAACAACTCTATAGCTTTTTCTTTTTTTTTAATTGTACATAAGAGAGATTCCCAAGTTTATTGATACAGTTGATAGTAATAACTCTGTTAAAATACAGTATCATTATATCCCCCTATCATCCCCCCTTTTTCAAATTCTGTCATCATTAAAATGGCTGAATTTAAACTCTTACCCACGAATTGCAGTAGCAGCAAGTACAGCAACAAGAACATTGAGAGGAAGACATAGTACTGAATGCCTTGTTTATCTGTTTTGCATGGGCTGAACTGTAGCACACTGTGCTGTCGCATTTACTTGCAGAGTTGCAAAGGGCCAAGGTTGTATTTCTTAGTGCTTGTAGTTGTGTACCCCAAAGCCTTCAAAGAACATTGATCCTCACAGAGGCCTTTTGTGATTTGGCAGTGCCACTTGTAAGTCATTGTACAATCCAAATTAACCCTTAGGTATTTGGTGGTGACTCCATTATCTATTTGAACACCCTTCCAGGTCACCTGAAGTTCTTGAGATGCCTACTGTTTCTCAGAGGTAAGATACATATCTGAGTCTTAGTATGGTTTTGTGTAGGTTGATTTATTTTAATGTATCTTTTAGAAGATGTTCTACCATCTGAAAGCTGTCTGATTGAGGAGCAAGTGTTAGATTATCAGCATAAATAAATCTTTTAGTGCCTTAAGGAAGTGGTTGGTTGTTGGTGTAGATGTTGAACAAAATAAGAGCAAGTCCACTACCCTGGAGCAGGCCACTCTTTTGGGTGCATTGTCCTTGAAAATTAACGACAATAAAAATCAGCTGCATTGTTCTTGAAAGTTAATGATCTGCAATTCTGCAAAAAAGGTTACTATTTCTTTAGTTAGCTTTTCAATCTTTGGTTAGATTATAGAATTTTTGAAGTAGTACTTGATGATGAATGATGTCATGGGTGGCTGAGAGGTCAATGAAACCTACCCCTGTGATCTTCCTAGTTTCGAAGCTGACCTCAATATCTTGCATTAGATGTAGAATTCATGCTGTACAGTTCTTCCTAGGTCTAAAGTCAGCCTTCCCAGGTCCAAATCCTCCATTAGATGGTGAAAAATAATTCTTTTCTGGACTTTGTAAAGGTGAAAGTGAGATACTCCTGAAATGTTTGGTTTGTGAGTTCTGTACCAGGTTTGTGAGTTCTGCTAAAGAAATCCCTACATGTCTTTGACCAAGTTTTGGGGATCTTCAGAGAGAGTTAAGACAGTGGCCAGGGGAGTGGCGGGGACACTTTTTGTTACTGTATGAAGATATTCTCTCTGTTCTCCGCAGATGTCATCCAGGCCTGCTGCCTTGCCATATTTGTAGCTATAAATAACATTTTCCAATTGTAAGGTCATTGGTCTGCAGTTGTTTGTTTCAAGTTCTGGTTTCCTACTGTGATTTTGAGATCTGCCATTAATGAGGAGCTGATGAGCTATTTGATTGGCTGGAATGTGTGCATGAGTGAGGCCTTGGCGGTCTTTGTTAAGAGAGTTTAATAATCGCAAGGCCTTTTGACTGTTACACGACATGCTTATTTCTTCTATGAGTTTCACCCAATTATTTCTTTTCATTTCTGAGACTGGAGAAATTAATTCCTGCCCATCCAGAATAATGTCTCTGCTCAAAGGATTTCATTCAAATAGTGTAAAATGAATATTCATTTGGGTGACTACTTCTGATGTTAGACCTTGGAGGCGATTGGTTCTGCATCCTTTGGGTATGAACAATTAGGCTGAGCTTTTCACTACCTCAACAAATTGGTCATAGGCCTTTGTGTCATAAGCCTCCAGAAAAGAAGTAGCCTAAGCTAACTGAAATCTGCTAAAGAAATCCCTCCCCAAATTCCCAGTAAAGTTCTGGGATAAATGAAATAAAATAAATAAGAAGAAGTGTTTGCTTTGGTGCTACATAAATGAAAGCACAGCCACAAGAATGGCACCAGCAACTGCAACTGTTCTCATTCTCGAGAGAATCAGAACAGAAGTGGGAAATGGTTGCAGGAGAAAAGCTTATAAAGCCTTTGTAAAAGTTGCATGAGAAAAGCTTATAAAGCCTTTGTAAAAGGTACACCCTCATAGCCCTTTCAGCAGTGCTATTGGCTGCTTGACATGCCAGTCCAGGATCTCCTGATTGGCCAGAGCTTCTGATTGGCACCAGCAAGCTCAGAGATGGCATAGAGAGGCCCCAAAAAGGGTAACAAATATAGACAAATATTGACAAATCAACGAATAAAACCAAGAAAATTGTCGAATCGTATTTGTCAGGACTTAAAATTTGATGACAACAGTTTGACGAATAAAACCAAGAAAATATTTGTCAAATCGTATTTGTCGGGACTTAAAATTTGATGAGAACAGATCAACAAATATATGACAAATCGGCTATATTCATCAAAAACAGCAATTCATTTTTATATTCGTCCCCATCTCAAGTGAGAACAGATTACAATTTGATTTTTTGCCATCAGGAGAATCCTAAGCAGTGGTACAATGAGGTCACTGTAGACTATTGATTAATTATCGTGCTTCTCAAGATGGCCATGATGCCAGAACCATAACTAGCACCTTCTGTCTGGGTGTGTGGCAGCTGTATTGGTTCGCTTCTCAAGATGGCCTAGATGCTAGAACCATAACTGTCTGGGTGTGTGGCAGCTGTATTGGTTCCATGTTGAACCTGTCTGTGTTGAGTTTCCTTCTGCCCAGGGCAGAACTGTTAAAAGGCAGCATATGTGCTCAAAATGGATGGGTTCATGCCCTTCTAGCAGTAAACAGCAGTGCGCAGGTTTACATCTTTCCAGCAGCAAAAGTCTGTACCTCCTAAATTTCAGCACCAGTTGCCTCACCCTTCTTAAAGCACACAACGGGTGTTGCTCTTTCCTCTCTCACTCTCCATCCCACTACCATTCTGCGCTTTACAACTGCTTCTGTGTTCCTTATATATTAAAGCGTAAAAACGAACAAAGAGTAACTATTTGCCAACTTGGAAAAAAAGGAAACAAATAACCTGAACATATGAGTTTTTTTTTTAAAAAAAACTTATTTAAATGATAATGCTATTAGGAACAAAGAAACAATGAAGAGTTCCATCTGTTCCATTGATGCTACACATAACGACTTGCGAATGAGCACCATTTTTAAGGATAATAATTTTAAAGTGTTGGGGGGAAGGAATATCTGAAGCAGGTGCTCTCAATGAAGAAAGGAGCTCTAGCAAGTAGGGTTTGCCCTTGTTGAGACCTATCATGTCCAGCTGGCCAAGGTGCTGATGCTGGGTCTGTTTATTTCAATAGATATCTCCTGCCACTCTCAGGGCAGTCTCTTAGGAGCTTTGTAACAGGTGTGGCACCAACGACTTTGGACTTGAGGCACAGCCTTATTTGTATGACTGATCTGCTTGAAATGACAGCGTCTTCTTAAAATAAACTGCATTACTGAGTAAGCCGTTGACCAGCTTTGTACAGCAGTCATCCTTATGCCTGCTGCTTTCAGATGTTTTCCCTCTCGTCTCCACCAACAAATCACAATACTGTATTATTAGAAAAGAGAAAGAGAGATGGCAGGTTTAGTTAGTGTAAAAATAACCTTGCCTGTAAAATTCTGTTTCAACTCTTATCAGGTGATAATGTCTGTGTCCCATTTTATCATAATAAAACATGAAAATCATGATCTGGATTACACATTCACTGCAAACAACTATAGTACATTTTCAGTGTGGTTTCATCCTATTTTCTTAATGTGGTACATGAGGGCTATAAATTGGTTTCTGGCACAATTTATATAATAAAATACATAATGAGTTGTGAATCACATGGATAAAAGCTGGCATTTATTATTTCCATTTATATTTAAAAGTGCTTTACACATACAGTGGTGCCCCGCATTACGATGACCCCACATGACGATGAAATCGCTTAACGATGACTTTTTTGCTATCGCTATAGCGATCGCAAAACGATGGTTCCTATGGTTTTTTTCGCTTTATGTTGATTATGTCCCTGCTTCATGAATTGTTTGTTCACAAAATGATGTTTTTTCTGGCTCCGCTAAATGGCTTCCCTTCGCAAAATGGCTGGCTTCCCTTTGCAAAATGGCTGTTTTCCAGACAGAAGCTTCGCAAAACAGCAATTTTAAACAGCTGATTGGCAGTTCTCTATGGGCGATCTTTGCTGGACGATGAGGTATTTCCCCATTGGAATGCATTAACCAGTTTTCAATGCATTCCAATGGGGTTGTTTCTTTCGCATGACGACGATTTTGCTGTACAGCGATTTTGATAGAACAGATTATCGTCGTCATGTGGGGCACCACTGTAATACATGGACTATGAATTTTGGCCTGTCTGAATGCATGTTATGCCTTGCACATTTGTCATGCTAGAGACAGATGGGATGCCAAAATTGTGGTCCTCCAGTAGACTCCAAATCTGTAATCTGTCATCATAATGATTGATGGGGATAAAGGTTGCTGCTAAGAATCCCTAGATTTGATGTCAAATTATGGATATATCTTTATATCTATAGGTATTTCAATGACAGGGTCCCCTCCTACCACACCCTCTTAAGTTATGGGGAAAATAAATTTAAGTAACATTTCCCAACTTTAGGCCATGGTGACACCAGCAAAATGTTTCCCAGTTCTTCCTTATTGGTTTTTTTTGTGTGTGTGTGTGGTCAGATGACACATGGTCATTGTTGAATCTTTTTGTCTCCCTCTGTGCTATCTCCACATGAAATCCTGCCCGCTGGGAGGCTTCTACTTTTGTTGTTGTTTTGAGATTCATTGTGCAACAATTAGAGTGGTGTCCTTTGTGCATGGCTGTACCAATACTTTTTTCTGGCAAGCCACCTTTTGTTGCTTCCACCAGTTATATCATTTGCTTTTATGTCCCTTTAATTTAAAAAAAAATATTTTTGAGAGTGGAGAGTCAGTGCGTTAGAAAACTCAGGTAACCCAGGTAACTTAATTTAGTTAAGTTACCTATAAACTCAAGTGCATTACCTCTGTTTAAAAAAATAATGGGGGTTATATGTAAATAAGGGCAGACCAACACTAGAATTTGTCCTTCTGTGAAATATACGGCAATGTAAATGCTGTGGATGCAAATAAAACAATATGCAGTCTTCCATCCAATAAGAACAGGGAAGAAACTGTAGAAGAGGATAAAAATAAAGCACACAACCATTTGAATGCAATATTTTCCACAGGAGACTACTATCTGTCACCTATACTAAAGTGCCAGCACTAGCATTAACCTCCAGGCTCAAAAAAAGAAAAGAAAAAAGGCTCATGCTGAATGAAGGTGGATTACTTGGCCATTTCAAAGTGTTTATAGCTTGGACAAGCCATTACATAAAGCCTTTAGTGCAGTGGAATTGCAGATGGAGAAGGAATTTTACAGATGGGCAGTTTTAGTTGACCAGTTTATAGTATATGTCAGGGATCATCTCCATTTAACATCTAGGGCACCAAGAGGTGATTGCCAAAATAAGAGAGCATTTAAAAGCCCGGAGGTAGAGTAGGGCTGTGAAGTTGTGGCATGCTGCTACAAGCCCTGCAACATGGAAAATGTTAGCTAGCCTTGACTCATCGTCTTCATCTTTCTTTTTAATGCAGGTAGTCGTCTTCAGAAATGATGCGGAAAGTAAAAAAGGAACAGCTACCACTAATTAAGCAATAAACAATGACTTCTTTTGCAGATTACAAGTCTCCTGTGACTCAGCACTCATAGTAACTATTTCCCTGTGAATATGTTTTTCATGCTGGAGGCTGGGCCCTTTTACAGGGACAGAGGTAGGACATATCATTTGGTGGATTTTCTGCTCATTGCTCAGTTGTATCTGGCCGCTCTCCTTTTAATTCCCTTTTCAGATGAAGTGGCTATTATTTATTCTTGATTTATTATTATCATTTGTAAACCACCAAATTTCTCCCAGTTAAGGGACTCAAGGTGGCTCATCGGTTATTAAAAAAAGAAGAAGCTGACTAAAACCACAACAAATTATTAGAACATAATTCAAGATATAACAATAATCACAATACATGGCAGAATTGTGGATACAGCGGTGCCTCGCATAACGATGTTAATTGGTTCCAGAAAAAAAAACGTTATGTGAAAACATCGTTATGGGAAGCACCATTTCCCATAGGAATGCATTGAAAACCGGTTAATCCGTTCCAACTGGAACGGATTATCCGGTTTTTTCCCTCCCCCCCGTGGCTTGGATCTGACCCATGGCGGCTACCTCAGCCATGGCTGGACTCCCTCCCCATGGCTGGGGTAGCCGCTGCGGTTACCCTTTAAGCGGCGGAGACAGGTGGGGGGTGGATCGGGGAGCTTGAAGCCTCTCCGCGCCGCCTACCCCGGCCGTTCCCGGACTTCTGGAAGTCCGGGAACGGCCTGGGTAAGCAGCACGGAGAGGCTTCAAGCTTCCTGATTCACCCCCCAGCCTGTCCCCGGCGCTCGGAA